TGATTAGTTAATTTCTAGCTTTTGATTTCTGATTTATTACTTATTGTATAGAAAGCCTTTTACATTTAAAGACTACAAAAGTCTGCTCCGGCTTGTGTCTTACATATTTTTAAAAAATATGTTTGAAATTATAATTATTTGAGACGACACACAATCAAGATGAGAGTTTTTTTGACTTCAAAAATTTATTTATGTAATACATGCTTGTTAACAGTAATACATATTTTTTTAAGAGAATAATATTAATCATTCCTCTTTAATTAAATTAATTTTCTAAGCGGTATATGACTATTATAATGATGTAAATTTATTGCAATAACAATTATTGCTTTAAAGTACTTTTTTATGCTGATACTCGACGCTCATTTTTAGCGTCAAAACAGATCACGATAAAAATTGATGAATATCAAGCGTCAATTTTTATCACATGACCTATTTTGTCGTTAAAAATGAGTGTCGAGCATCAACGTGAAAAAGCACCTTCATGTTAGAAACGACATTTAACTGGAACATGGCCCTCGATTCAAAATGGCCGGCGGTGGTCATCATTTAGATCTCCTTTGGTACGTACAGACATAACATAAACAATCGATATTTCAGTCATTCAAGCATTCGGAATAGTGTGACAAATACGAGCGATCGGAATTATTATTTAAGAAATGATTATTCTCACCGCGATTGAGTCGTCCACGCGTTGCGCGAACATCTCAAACGTTCAAGCAGTACATACATCTTTCATAACAATGCACTGCTCTTATCCATATCACAGAGTTGCAAAATTGCTCGCTGCAGTTTTCTTCAGTAGCCTTTCGTTCACTTGCCGATAGCCGATTTAGCAGCGACAGACGTCGATTATGTCGGCTAGGAAAGCTTTAAATCACATCTATGTATTTCATTTACATACATTTTTCATCTAACAGCTAAATTCGTCGGAAAGAGATAATAGCAGTGTTTACTAGAAATTTAAATTAAATATAAAATTTAAATAAATTTTCTGCTGACAGAATATCAATAGAAATATAAATTTGCCAATAAAATGTGATGGCAGATTGATTGTGAAAATTGAATACAATTTAACTGTCGTTCCATTGAAAAATAAATGATTACGAAATAATAGATTACACTCAGTTTCTACTGACAATCAGAGCTGTCAACTATATCAAAAACTGTCAAATATATTGATAGTTGCTGATAAAATATTTAGGTGGAATTATTTCAACTTTTGATAAATCTAATCAAATCTTTATTTGCTTTCATTTTCTCTCTCTCTTTCATTCTCTTTTTTATCCATTAAATTTATCACATGATTTATTCGAAGTTGGACCAGGCCTTTAATACAGACACATTTGATGCCAATACATTGCAATGTTCTACTAATCTGCATGCTCGTTAGATTACGTCGATAGATTTTACTGACGTTTATGCTTAATGTCAATGCAATTGATTTCAATTCGCTATTCTAGTTGAATCTTCTGGCGAACCGTCAAATTTAACAGTCTTGATGGTAGTAATACGATCACGAACATGAACATCAACTAAAAAACAAAATTAGCAGTCTGAGTTCCGGTTCCACTAATGTAAGATTAATTTAATCTTGATTCAATTTATTCCTTATCTTTTTCTATTTCTAAGAAAAACAGAAAAAGAGTAAGTCAAACCCAGATGAAAATAATTTTACATTGTTCGTGATTGTGTTACCTGCCATTACTGTTAAAGAAATCTCGATATTGTAAGATTTCCTTCATGAAAATTTATATCATAAAATAAAATTCTTCAAGTTATGAGTAATATTATACTTCTTTTGTCTTCTGATTACATCTTATCTTATTGTTACTTGCGAATTGATTAACGATTGAATATCAAACGTATTTTAAAATTGGCTATTGAATCTCTTTAGAAAAAGAGCAGCATCTCTTTAATAAAACAAAAATTATTTTATATACATGATACTCACGTGTTAACGAACGTTGCAATCTACGAAATCGCAATATATAAAATTTTATTTTGCACTTTCTTTGACGCATTCAGTTTTCACAATTCTTCCACTTTAATTGCGTAAAATAGAAGCTATTATATTTTGTTTACATTTTTGACACATAAAGATGCTGATTCATCAATAATAATAAAAAATGCTTCGAAACTGGAAATGGCAAAATTGTATAATTCTTTCAGTTTCTCAACAAGCTTCCAGAATATTACGCTAACGTTTTAAAAATAAAGATTCATCTTTGTTTTGAGGGGGAGGGGATTTTCCTAATAAAAAATAAGGAGCTCTAATATTCATTAATGAAATTATTGACACATCTACAAAGACTTCCGATTTTAAACAAATCGATTACATTAATTGTAATAAAAAAATGGTATAAAAATAAATACACAATTTATTTCCTTTGTAACGCTACAAAGAAACAAGATTACATACACAATTATATATACCTATAATTTCTTCAAAGAAGCGTACGGAGAGACCATAAATATATGCAAAAATTTGAAGAACGTTCGAAACGTGTGTTCCTAAGTACAATAAATATGTATTTGTGGTAATTGATTTAAATAAAATTAAAAACATGATGAGACTTGATTTATGAAATTTTGTTTGAATAAATAAATATATAGTTAAAGTATGGAAAATTGAAAGTTTAAAAAGAAATTGGATTTTAAGCAGAAGATATTAATTCTCAATCAAATGGTTACTGCGCGAATTTTGAAAAGCAAAATTTCATAAAAGCCTCGATAAATGTACGTAAAAAGGCTCATCGTGAATCTTTGATCGGACGACGCAGTAAATAAGTGTATTAAAGTTTTAATAAAATTTTGTCCGCATTACATATATCGTCTTAATGAGAATTCTTTATGATATCATTTTCTACTATTGCAGCAAAGACACCATAGGGCTATTGCTCTTGACGTACACATAAATTATGGACGAAGCCTGTAATTGATGGCGAATTCGGTCACTTGCATTACACAAGATTAGTGCATACTAAAAGCTGCTATATCTACATGCGGCGAAATTAAATATTAAAAGCATATGAATATTTTAAACGATTAAATGGCTTATAATAACATTATCACATTAAATGGTCAATAATGACATTGTCATATTATTTAATAGAGCATATATGTATTATTTCATTGTTAAAGTTGATTATATCATACCACTGCATTTAGATACCTTATACAAAGCAGCATTTAATATGCACTGATTAGAGTAGTGTAAGTGACCGAATTCACTATAAAATAAAATTTACATTCTATATAAAATGCATAACACATTCTTTTACTAATAAAAGTAAAAGTTTATAAACAAAAATAATATTAAATTATGACATCAAATATATAAATAATAAATTATCTCTTCGTGTGTTCTTAATTCAACATCTTGCTTTCATTATTTGTTTTAATGTTTCACGCAGAGAAATGTATAATACAACATAAATACAATATATACATTAACATGAATGTATAATATATATTTTTTTAATTTTAAATACAATTAAATGTATAATACACTAAAAATTTAAAATAATTCGCGCGTTAAAAGAGAAGAAATTTTAAATAATTCTGAAAGTTGATAGTTAAATATGATATATTCAAAATTAATTTTTATATATAAAAAGGCTATGACGGTGCTATTAGCAAAACATGTATCGTATTGTGAAATTTCAACGAAGGAATGTGTAATGCAATATTGCGCGTTAAGCATTATGAATAATACATATTCGATATAAGTAAATATGGAAATGTTGATTTTATCGCAGAATTTCCTCGATAAATGTATCAGTCCTGCGTAATCTGTAATTTAGAGAATTCTTACGATATCGTCAGAAGCTCGGCTGAAGGTTAATACGCAGTTGACCATAAGAAAGTTCAACGATCTTATTATTTTCACAACCGTGTGAAAGCGACACGGTATGTTTATATCCGTATATAAAAGTTATACAATTATTAATAGTCAACATTCATCATACAATTCAATGCATCACAGAAAAGTCTATATCGAGAAACATATTTCTTCAAATATTTTGTTATATGCATAACAACTGTGTTATTGATATAATTTATGAAAACACGGGCGTGTATTCAAATCATATAGAAATAATACATAAAAAAAAAATCAAAAATAATGTGCTATGTTTGTTGTTTTAACGGCGTAGCATCGCTTTAATCTAATTTTATTTCCATTATTGTTTTGATTTTCATTGAATTTATTATTAATTTTCGGCAGAAATGGTCAGATTCGAATGCACACTTTTTCCGTCCGTATTTGTCTCGATTTAATTTTATAGTTTAAATGCTACATGGATCCAACCTAGTTTGAAAAATTCTGCAAAATTGAAAATACATTTTAATCTATCTATGCATTATAAAAATTGCAACGTTTTCAAGAATTGACCATTTAAATATATTCAACAAACACAGGTTGCTATTTAATTGCTACTTCTGCAAATAATTTTCATATCATTGATTTAAGATTATTAATAAAAAAAATTAGTTTAATTTTATAAAAGAAAAAATCTTTTATTTAACATAAAAAATATTTTGCATGTACACAATTCTTTAATTAAATGCCATAAAATAATGTATATCATTCCGGAATCATTATCTCTGATAAATAAGCATTTACATAAGGTACAATAAATAAGGAATGAAATATTTCTTTTAGGCATTCTGTGCAAGAATATTATTTGAAAGCGTACATATTCATATACATATATTCGTGCATATATATTCAGACTGACCAAATAAAGAAATAACATTTCAAAAAAATAACAAAGAGATAATTATTTACAATGACTGTCCCTTTGAATACCAATGATCGAAAATCAATTATTTAATTTGATCATTAATGTTTATCGACAAAGAGATCGATGTGTATTTCTGAATTATTTATAAATCGCATAGATATAAACATTATAAACAGTCTAGAAACAGATATTATGTTTTATCTCACAAAAAAAAGTTTGATTTATACGTATCAGAAAGAAAATATTTCCAAATTGTGACATTTTGTAAATCTGATCTAAAATATTCTCAATCACTTTAAATATCTCTACGTCGGCTGTTTATTCTTAAATCGATGACACAAAAGTGCCATACAATTAAATCTTTTTCTCTTCGATGCTATCCATTCGACAGTTTGGTAACTTCAACTACCTACCGAACAATTTCATGTATATAATACAAACAATACATTCTTTTCCAATATAAAACTATCCTTTAGAACATTTTCTTCTTGACCGCTGTGTAGCGTTCCATGTACATGTCGTAACCGTCCAGTTCTGCAAACTGCTTCATCTCAAAGAGATTTCCTTCAAGCGCCAACACCGAGACCTTAGAGTTCTTGAGGAGTCTGATGGGCACCGAGCTCAGCTGTAGGCAGTTCTCCTCCAATCTCAACGTTTTCAATCGCGGACAATCCGCTAGCTTCTCGGAGATGGTGGCGATTTGATTCTGATTAAGATTAAGCTCGATTACATGGAGGTCGGCGGCGGCGTCTGGCACTATCGTAAGCCAATTCTTGGACAGATCCAGGACATCCAGGTGCCTGAGGCCGCAGAACATCAGCGGAAAGTCGGAGATCTGATTGTCGGACAAATTGACCTGCTTCAAGTGGTTCAGATTCCCCAGCGATGATGGGATCGATCTGATCTGATTCGCGGCGCAGTTTAGACCTTCGAGTTTCTCAAGTGCGCCCAACGTGCCGGGCAGAGCGGTCAATCGGTTATGGCTGAAGTTCAGCTGCTTCAGCAGCGTGAAGTCGCCGATCTCGTTTGGCAGTGTCGTAAAACTGTTCTCGGACAGGTCCAGGGTGCGCAGCGTCGGCGCCAGGTCATGGAGTTTCCGCGAGAACTTGTCCAGCTTGCACTGCGACAATTTCAGGGTGGCGGTCTTCTCCGCGGTCTCGTAGTGCCTCTTCAAGGCGGAGTTGCCCATATTGCCTCAATGTCTCGATATCCTTGTGAATATCAATCGCGCGGGCCGTTTCCCTGTCAACGTAGTCAAGGAATTAATTGATCGTATCGATCTATCGTAACAGATATTAAGCGTCACTTTCGAAGCAGAATTTTATCGCAAGATCGCAGTGTACTTTTCGTCGCCCGGATGACCTTTTTATTTGAAATTTGAAATTTGAGTAATTATGTTTGGATTGTTTCGCAAAGTGCATATGATCAAGTTCTTATTTCGTTTTTTTTTTATGCAGTTCGTGTTGCTTGCGCTTTTTATGTTCAGAATCTTCGCTTTTTCTTTTTTCCTTGAATATATATTAATTTCTTTTTGCAAATATTTTTGGGGATTTCAAGCGACACGAACAAATGTATTACGATTCTCGAAGATATTTGTATACAATCGTTCGCGTGGAAAACGGATTGCAACGCGCCGTGTTCGCACAATTCAAAATAATCCGCGAAGCGCGCGAATTTCTCCGGAGCGACGCGAAACCGGCGAAACTTTCGCCGGGACTGTAGAGCCGTCGACGCCGGGTAAACTTTCCACGCGGACTGTACTATCGCCTGCGGCGCGCGGCGACTTTTGCGCGGCGCTGTAGCGGTGCGCGCGGTCGGTGGCTGTGTTCACTCCGTTGACGAGATTTCCGTAGCGCGGAATCGCCGTGCCGGAGCGACGTGGTTAAGTTTCACCGCACAGAGTGCGGCGTGAGCGATACACACGTCGCGTCTCGTTAAAGCGCCTCGCTCGCGGAGACACGTGCGAATACACGCAGACGTACGTTCGCCGTCGACTCGTAGTTCGTACCCGGCGTCCGCGTTCGCGGAGTAAGCACGCAGGAGTGAAATGTCACGCGATTGACAGCGCGTCCGCCATAATCGGCCCTCCGGTTTCGCGTCTCCGCCGCCCGATGGCGGGTCGCGCGCTCGCGCGCGCGCGCCCGCCTGCCTGAAAAATGGCCGACAAACGAAGATGTAGCGATGCGCGTCGGGTTTACAACAGACTGAAAACGCCGCGGCAGCTTCCAGTGCGTAGTACACGATGCGGCGGTGCGCGGAAGTGGTGAGATAGTGAGATCGACGTCACCGGCGAGCGACATACCAGGGTAAACGATGGCCTCCACGCCGAAGACGGAGAAGCACACAGGTAAGATAACCACTACCCGTTTGACGACGACTGAGAGCGAGCAAGCGAGAGGGAACGAGCGCGCGCGCGAGAGAGAGAGAGAGAGAAAGAGAGAGAACGAAAAGAGCGAGCGAGTGAGAGAGACGGTGGGAGAGGGCGCGTACGCGATAAGCATGCGAGACCGCGCGACGTTTCCTACCTTCTTCCCTTACAAGGCTCCGGATTCTTTTTGAATAAAAAAAAAAGAAAGAAAGAAAGAAACGGATGTTTCGCGTCGCGTGATCGCAGTGATATCGCTTGACGTTGATCTTGATTCTCGCTTATCGGCGCCGCCGGTATCTCAAATTCGGCCGACTTACCGAAAGCGTATGATATAATCGGTGGCGTTAACCTGACGACGCTACCGGATGCGAAACGTCAAAAGCATATGTGTGCCGCATGCATGTATGATTTTTTTCCTGTTTCTGTGAGGAACGATATGATGATCCAGAATATATCCGTCGATATTCCTACAGTTACTTACGTTTTATTCGGGAAATCCGACATATTTACGATAATGACAGACCTGTCGAAGAAAAAAAAAAGAGGGAAACATGATCGGTTTGCTTATTCACGAAGAATTTTCTCTCTCCTCGCGATCGTTTCCGCTCGCATGCTCGCATTGAAAACAGGAATCTTGATTTGTTATGTCCTGGTTCTAATATGCGTCTAGTGATTTCGTGTTCCTTCCCAATTAATCATAGCTCCTGCCATAATCGAGCATACCGATGCTTGGGTCAACCCATTCTAGGCAGCAATTCATCTTTGTTATTTTCTACAATGGAAAGTGATATCATTCCTTCATTTCAAAAGTGACAACGCGAAAAATTAAGTTTCCTCCACACTGAAAAAAAATCTTAATTACAAAGAAAAAATTTCTTTAAATATAAGAAATTATACAATATCTTATTTTCAAGAAATTTTCATTAATCCAAAGAAATAATTTTTTTAAATACGAGCAAAGAAATATTTTTTTGAAATTAAGATATTTTTTTTAGTGCGAAAAAGAAAAATTTTTTCAACTTGACAGAAAATTAATGACTAATCAAATCGGTAAAACAAATATATTATTAATATGATTAAATGTCATTTGTTACATTTTTAATCTTTTAAAAACCTTGTTTTAATGACACTTTGATGATTGTTTATGAAATTAAATTTACTTTTGATAGGATGTTTACTTAATTTAATAACGATAATTACTTGAAAAATTATGTCTTTTTTAGTTGTGAAGGGAACGATATGTAGTTAGAAATAGATTAGACAAAGTTACATCGATAGCTTGAGTCAATTCATTCCAAGTAGACAACATTATTTTCTACGATAGAGAGAAGAAAAAAGACGATATTTAATTAGAAATAAAAAGATAAAATTATATCAATAGCTTGGATCAATTCATTTCAAGCAGAGAACATTGTTTTCTATGATAGAAAGAAAAAAAGACGATATTTAATTGGAAATAGATTAGACAAGTTATATCAATAGTTTGAGTCAATCCATTCCAAGTAGACAACATTGTTTTCTACAATAGAAAGAAAAAGAGACGATATCTAGTTAGAAATAAAGTAGACAAAATTATACCGCTTGGATTAATCTATTCGGAGCAGACAATTCAACTTTTTTTTTATGATAGGGGAAGAAAAAAAAACATGATATTTAGTTAGAAATAGATTAGAATCAGAATTAGAAATTATCCAATTATCTAATCAAATAAATTGCAATCGAGGGTTGTAAACGAGCAATTTTCTTTGAAAAGCGCAATTGAATTCATCAAGATTTGATTTTGAACGTGATATTTTAAACGATATTTACGCAAGTAAGTAGCTCTCACTTTTTGCAAGAATGCTCTGATGTTTTTTCAAGGTTTGTGATCCAGCTATTTTTACAAGATGACAAGCACGCCCATTTTTATTTGCAAGCGTGCGAAAAATATTGAAATATCGTAAAAAGAATCAACTTTAACAAATATCTAAATGTAAAAATGAAACTCGTATAATTTCCTTTTTATGTTTAAGAAAATCATAATAAACTAAACTTTATTATTTTTATTACTTTATTTTTATTACTTATAACTTACGTTATATAATAGATCTTATCATAATTATCATAAGATCTTATCATAATTTGATAGACAATAATGATAGATAATAATTTGATGTTGATCTCATTCGATTCTAGAGATCAGCAATTTCTGTGGAGACTCCAGAAAGAATTGAAATAAAATAACAGATTGGAAGGGGATATTTAAATATCAATTTAAATATCTGTGATTTTCGGTTTCAAGGCTGTCTCCTCTTTTTCTCGTGGAGAATTTTTTAGTACAGAATCGTATTGACGGTAATAGCCAGTGGAGTGTGTCAACAAACTTTACACCCGTCCAGGCAGACCCCGGGTCGTGATTCGCACAGCTGGCCGTGTCACGAGCTTTTCATCCCACAATTCTCCCTTTCCGAACAAAGACCTATCCCACCTTGCCCCTTTCCCTGGTTTGACCTGATCGAGAACGACTGTATTTTTCGTGGCGATTACGAGTCCTTTCTCCCTCTGCCCTCGTTGGCTGCTCTCTTTCTTGGATACCACGAACACGCCCCCTCATGCATTTCTCGTTTTGTTGTTGTTCCCTCTTTCGCTGAAGACACGACGTTCTTTTGACTTCGTGCAAACTTGTTTTTTTTAAATCATCGTCATTTTTTGCGATCCATAAAGTCTTATATTAGATTAGAGATTTAAGTTTAAGATTGAATTTGACCAATATCAAAGTTCTCTAAATTTGATATTGATTGTCGTTGTGTGTTTTGAAAAAATAAAGGGCTAATTCATCAATTGTCACATTTTTATTTTGTATTTTTTAGTGACATAGGAAAATAATTAATGATTAATTAATGATATAAAATCAATGAAGATCGTGATAATAATTAATTGTATAAATAAAAATATAATAATAAATTAATTATATTTTAGATGAATGTATTATAATTAATAATTGAAGGATTGATTGTAGCAATGAGCTAATCCGTAGCCGAAAATGTGATATTGGTAGAAATAAATGAATGACAGAGACTTCTATTTGTCCCAAACGTTTTCATACGATGTGAATTAGTTGTTACAATAAGCCCTTCAATTTAACGTAATTTTTAATTCCTTCGGTAGAACAGTTGAGATTCATAAATAAAGTGATAGCTAATAGATTATAAATAAAAATGGCAGTTAATTGTGTCTTATAATTAGTTAGTAATTTAATATTATTTAATATAACATTCGATTTCTTTAGTAGAACAATTTTCCAAGGAAGAAAATAATTATTTTAAATTTTTACAGTAGTTAATATTTTAATATTTTAGTGTGCAACATCGATATATGAATATATAAATTTAAGTTCTTCGTTGAATATCGTATTTGACGTACACAATATATATGCTATTGTAAAAATTGCATTGTCAAATTGTCAATATTTCAAACATGTGAGATATTTCACTCTTGTGTCTTAAAAAATTTCTCATTATATCTTTGTATAACGTCCGTACGTAATGCTGAAAGAAAAATATTGGAAAAGTATTCATTTTTCCATAACACACGTGCAAGTTCGTGCTGTGTCGCATATAAAATCGCGAACTTTTTATTAGAAATAGATATAACGTCGGATCTATTAGACTATTAGATTGATAATACACAATGTAACAGGTGTAGCTTATCAGAACTGATACGTTCGACCTCGAAGGGATATATGACAGATAGAAGCACTTAAGGATAGTTCGATCAATTTGTCGAATAAAACTAAAACAATAAATCCTATCTGCTTCACGTAATTGCGTTTAATCGAGTTGTTCTATTCGCTGCATCAATCGTATTTATCGGTGCGGACGTTACTTTTTTTTTGTTCATCATGTCTTCTGCGTTTTCTCTCTTGAATGAACTAGCTCGCGTTCAATCGCTCCAAGCAAAACACGGAAGCATTATTCCGTGTTTTATATATTTTGAGATTTTCGAAATTTTTAATCGAGACACGGGGTAAATTTTATTATATCCAGAAAATAGCTCGATGGAAAAAAATCTCCAATATTTTCATCGCTTGCGGCCGTAGCCGATTGTCGAATATATTTCGCTTGAAATCTCATTTTGAACAATAAATACCATATAATCTCTCTCTCTCTCTCTCTGAAATAGAGAGGAATACTATATTACATTGTGATTTTATTGGCCGGTGCCACAAGTGAGATCACTGGTAAATCCGTCGCATAACCGCGATGTAGTGTCCTCTGAATGGCGGACTCATTAAATTTCTAACTAGGAGAGGGTTGGATATAGTCGCATTGAAATAATTCTATAGTGGCAAGTGCACTACGTTGTGCGGGAAACGTATGACGACGCTGTGCGATGCCATTGAATGCCGTCGGCAATACCTCGTCCCGAGATTCGAGTAATCTTACACGGGAGAGGCGGAGTGCAGAAGGTGGAAGCACAAGATCGGTATCTCGTCGGATCCACTTCATCTCGTCGGATCCTTCGTCTCTGTTTCGTTGCTATTGTGCCCATTATAGCCTTTGTACGCGGCTGCTTTAGTCGCGTTGCTGCCTAATCCATAGACTCCTTTCTTCATTACTGCGACTCTGCTTTCGCTAATATTCGTCGCTAAAAGCCTTTTCATACTTGCAAGATAAAAATTTCTGAAATTCCCTCGTCTCGTTTCTAGATAAAAGATAAATTGTCCGTCGGATAACGAAATCGTTTATATAAATGCGAGAACGTCGAACCTTTCTATTTAGTATTTATGATGAAAACGGTAACGTGCGACTCGTTATATTCTTTATAATTGTTCGTAAGACAAGCATAATGATTCTGAAGTACGCATAATGAATAGTTAATTGCATGTATAGAAAGAGTTGGGAATACGGTAATGAATACCGTCTTCGAATAATTTATGAGCATTTATAGTAAATAACTTAGCAAACCAAAAAGACTTCATTCGAGATGATTGTTAAAATAATTAATAAGCTTTTTAACCAAAAATTAATATTAATGACAATGATTGTTAAAATAATTAATAAGCTTTTTAACCAAAAATTAATATTAATGACAAAAATTACGTAGCATGCAGTAAATAACTGTAGAATTATTTTTTGCATAAGTTTATACCAATTATATACAGATTAATGGTTGTTGTATGTTTTTACAATATTTTAATCCGGAATTTTTCAGATATTTTATTTATCGTTAATTATACTGAAAAAAAATATAATAAATATTTATTTGAATAGTTTTAAATAAATAATGACTAAATATAAATATATATTTATTTTGATACAGAAATTATTAATTTGATTTAACTTAATTTTTTTAAATATGTTTATTTATAGTATTATTGAAACAAATATTATTAAGATTCAGTAAATTTTTTTTTTAATATACTAAAGAGAAATATTTAGAAATAAAGGAATGGAAATCTAGTCCACGTATAAAGAAACGTTTTTAAACATTCAAACGGTATTACAGTTGCAATTAGCGTGGTATGTGGTGGAACATGCTTTCCTCGATGTGAACTCTATTACCGCAATTATTACGCTCTATAAATTTTCATTAATTTGACGCGATATCAAAAGAGTACAAAGAATGCTTGAAAAACGGAAATGTCCATTCGATCTTCCGCTTCCTCATAATCACCGATATATTGCATTTAAAACTTATCACTAATTTGCATGCAAAATACGATCCACTGCTGCAATATATTTTATGACTCTCCATAAAATATTTTTGATCTATTTCGAAAAGGAAATTTCTTTTAGCACTTGAGTTTAACGACACGAACATTATATAAATCCCGTTAAGATCTCCGGTTTGCAGGAAACGATTTAAAAGTTATAATGAG